AACAGAGGGCTCCAGAGTCTCCTTCTGAAAGAAGGCTTCCACAGGCTGCTGGACCGAGGGGTCCTTCTTTTGGGCTTGGGCCTTGCCATTCTTTTTCTTCAGAGCGAAGAGCTTCCCGGCGTCCATATTCACACCTTCCAACAAAAAAAGGGGTTAGACCGAAGGGCAAGAAAGCAAAAAAAAGAGGAAAAAATCCTAAGTACAAAATAAGGAGCCCTCGACTACTACCTCCTGCTCCCTCGAGAGCCTTGTCCAACACATGATATTTCTCGCCTGTCTCGCCGAGGAAGCGATATCTGCGGAAGCCGAGGGCGAAAAGCTCCTTGTCAGCAGTAAAGTCCTTAATGGACACTTGCTTCGTACGACCCTCCGGGATCTTGGCTATTATCAAGCCATCCTTCTCCAGAGCAGCGTTTCCAACCTTCGGATGCCGACGGAACCGATCCCGGAGTTCCATCGGAAATGGGCTCTCGGCGATTCTGACATAGCACCACCGCTCCTTCTAGCCTTTATTGGACGAGGGCGCTTCTGTGAATAGTTTCCACCGGGCTATCTGCTGCAGATTGGCGAAGCCCTCGGCATTCGCGTGACCCCCTCGGCAGAGGTTGAAGCTCTGGAAAAACAGGTCCAGGCTGGGGGTCACCCCTCGGGCCCGACAAAGATTCAGAAAACCCGCCACGTAGGAGTGGCTATTAGGCATCAACTGGCAGGGGACCAAACCCACATACCGAAGGTATTCCCGAAGGAATGGGTGTAGGGGGGACCGGAGCCCCATTGATACCGACAGGATGTGCACGGCGATGCAACCCTCGGGAGCCCGGGAGAGCACGTCATCAGGACCTGGCGTCACCACCACAACTGAAGGCCCCGCGTGCATCTGAGTCACATACAGATCTTCCCGGTCAGCCTTCGACCCTATCTCGAGGGCACCAGTATTCAGCCAGGAATACCCCTCGGGCACATCGATGGGCTTCCTTTGATCAGCAACGATGCACTTCTTGGGAGCATCTTTCTTCTTCTCCTGTTTATTCCCGGGGGCCACTCGTATCGGTGTCGGGTTAAGGGGCCGAGAGCTCCCCGCCTCACCAGCACCCCGAGGGGGAAGGACAGCCACTGTCACCCTCATCCTCTCCTTCTCTTCCTCCTCCTCTGCAACTTGTATGGCGAGGGCAAGCTCTTCGTCCTCCGCCTCTTGCTCGAAGCCCTCGGCTTCAACTTCAGCCACCAACTCCTTCTGCACCTCCATGGCCATCGCGACATCCTCCTGGGCCGAGGGTTGCTCGCTCGAGGACCCCACATCCGAGAAACTCTCCTCTTCCATCGAGGGATCCCTCGATATGTCCTGAGAATCACTCTGAGAAGACATCTTTCCACTAGGTCGAGGGCTCGGAAATACTAAGTGTTCTAAGTTCTAACTCCTAACCTAAGGACACAGGGCACAACTAACTAAGAGAGGAGAAAAGCAGGTGGGAACTGACCTTGGAACAGGAGTTAGATCGAGGGCAAGTGTTTCTCTCTCTAGGAAAAATCCGGCAGAGCTTCGCTACAATGATATCGCACAAGAGAAGTGGTGCCCGGCCATGGGGTATTTATAGGCGCCCAAATCCGGGCTTGGGCCTGAATACCGGGCCTCCGGTACAAAATCATCATTACCAACCGACGTGTTGCCCAATCGGTGACACCCGCCCACGGACAGCTAATGAGCACGCACCACGTGGAAGCCCCCCCCAACGGCTATATTTCGACGTTAGGTATTCCAACGGCTATATTCACAACGGCTATATTCTGGGAGCCTCCGGCTATATTTAGCAGCCCACTCCTTCATCAACCAAGGAATTAGCCCCCAGGATTTTTACTTCACTCCATTTCATCAAGATGAGCCCCCGGGTGCACTTACCTAGAGATGCTCCCGGTTTATGCCCCTCATACTACATAACAAATGCCTTCGGGCTCACTCCTTCAGAGGCCCACGGCTTCATAACAGGCACACCCCTCGGGGATCCCCCCTCAGCACTTTGAGGGCCGGGTATCCCCCGGGGAGTACGCCTCATTGACGGATAGCCTACTGCACACAGGTAACGGGAGCCCTCGGATACCCTCCTCACCAACTAATCAACAAACAGGGGACACCCCGGTAACACTTCAACTACTACTCACATTCATCACGCCCTCGATCCCCAGATCGAGGGACTCCCCTTCGGCACCTCCCAGGATATCAACAGCAAGCCTCCGGCTAATCAACACATGCGCCCTCAGAACAAGGATAGCCTTCGGCATCAGCATTGTACTCCATTTCGAACCAGGGCTTCACATTTTCGATTCATCGTTGGGGGAATTCGGTGCACTCTTTTTCCCTCATTAGGATTTTTTCCCACAGGGTTTTTCCTAATGAGGTTTTTAACGAGGCATCCCCCCAAAATGAAACGAAAAGCATCAGCCTTCGGCCCAAAACAGCAACATGATTACTCTACTCCTTTTCACCACTTTGCAAGCGCCTCAAGGAGTGGGGGACTGGAGAACCCCCCCGGGAAAAATCACAAAAAGTGAAAAATGCCAAAAACTCCCGCAAACAGCAAACATGCCCCCTCAAGTCCCGACATGTGGGTAACTGAGGGACTTCCCTCGGCAGAATAAACAAACAACAAACTACCCACAACTCTACAAACTACAAACAACGGCAGAGGACAAACACAGTTACTCCTTTTCCCTCAAGTACCTTTCGGCAAAAGGAGTGAGGGACTCCTGATGGAGTATATGGCCCGGGAACCCCCGGTCCATAGACTCCTACTACTCCAATAAAGGCCCAATAGGCCCAGGAAGCACAACAGGCCCAAATCACAGCGTCCAGAGTACCAAGCGGTCCACAGTGCACACCAGGAGTGCCTTCGGCCCCCTGGCCGAAGGCTCCAATTCTCACAGGATGGCCAAATCAGGAAAACAAGGTCACTGGGAGAAAACGGCGAAAATCAGTAGCCCTCGGCACCTAGAGCCCTCGGCACTAAGGGGGTCCCCAGTGCTCAGAGCCCTCGGCTAGTCATCTACAGCCGAGGGCACCTTTTCCGATATGATATCCGCTACATGTGTATGGATCACTGTACCAAGTACGACGTCACATCCAACAGCCGCATTAAATGCGGCCACATGCGATTGCCAGCGCCAACCAGTTGAGGTGACCCCTCGACCAATGGACGCTTGACACGTGTCCCTGCCTGGCATTTATTGCTACTATAAATAGCACATCATTTCCCCATTTGTAACCAAGAAGCAAATGCGCTGAAAACACTGAATACATTTCTAATATACTCTCTCTCTCTCTCTACTTACTTGCTCTGACTTCTCTCTAGTTATTCCCCGTAATAACCCCTCGGATAAGCTACCCCCGGGTACACTATCCATCAATGTGTATAGAGTTATTTTGGAAATTTTAATGTTAAACATTGTTTTAAATCCTTTGAAGTAAATAGGAGTTTATAACACTACTTATTTTATGCGCCGCTTATTAACGCGAGTCTTGATGAAGCACCGTTTAGTAACTCGTGAAGTAAATACGTCGTGAGTGTCATTGTCCCTTACCCCTTATTTGTCTGTGTCATTCTCTCTCCAGTCTCTATTATTTTGGATAAAGGGTAAGTATATATATCATCCAAAAGAGTTTATGTACATAAAAAATTAAGGGACAAAATAAATGGGGCTATCCCAAGCAAGGATAACCCATCACCTTAAAAACTATACACAATCAACACATATGGCCGAACACAAAGATAGGTTATGGGCCAAAATCTAATGCCAAACTCTAATGCACCAATGTATCAAAAGGTGATAAGCTCATATGGGTAAATATTGTAGAGGATCTTGTACACCATGTATTTGATCCTAGCAAAAACATCATCCTCTTTCAATGTGGCGCCATCAAATCTAGTTTCATTTCTGACTCTCCATATCTAGTAGACCGTATAGATGAATGCAATCCGAATAGCTTTAGCTTTGATTCCTGCACCTCCATGGTCTTTCTTGATCCATTTCACCGAGCTATCCAATGTGGTCATCTGTCTATGCAATCCCATCCATATATTGCACACTCTTCTCCAAATAGCTCCTGAAAATTGGCAACCAAAGAAAAGGTGTTCTATCATTTCCGTTTCACCCTTACAAAAAGGACATATGTTAACCACCTCAAACCTAATAAGATTATCACACGTTGCAAAGCGATTGCGGAAGGCAAGCCAAGCAATGAATGAGAATTTAACTGGAATGCAAGCTTTCAAAATGAAAGGCATCCAAACCTGTTTGGTGTCTTTAATTCTAATTAAATCATATACTTTGGAAGAGCATAACTTACCATTGGTGACAAAAAGGGAGAGGCTACCCACTGTGGCATCAATTGAATCAAATTTGGCAACAAGTTGATCACGTATTAATGTAATTTTCTTTATAAGCTGCGCGTCCTAAGATAGACCAGATAGACCCATTTACCCATTAGAAGGCAAAGTGTGTAGCTTTTTATGGCCTGTTTGGATTGAGTGTTAGAGAGTGCTAGTAATGGAAGTGTTAGTAAGTGTTGATACTAACACTTGTTTGGGAGAAAAATTAAGAGGTGTTAAGAAGTGTTAGTAAAGGTTAGAAAGTGTTAATAATAACCTTCCCAACATCTCAATTGTCCACTTTTTTAACATCCCGATTTGGAGTGTTTTGAGGTGTTGGACAATTATTACTCTTCTCATTTACCCTAAAAACATAAAATGCTTCGAAATCTCACTTCAAATCTCTTTGGCGCAGGTCTGATGGTCTGCCTTTTTCATCTCTTCTCCTTACTCGTTTCTTCTGACTCAAGGTAAAATTATTAAACACTTCCATTATTATCATTTCATTCATTTTACTCTCCCAAACAAGGTAAAATTATGTCTAATACTTACACTTCCATTATTAACATTTCCTTCGTTTGACTCTTACTAACATTTACTAACACTTCTTACAATGTTCCTGTACTCCTTACAACCAGACACAATGTTCTAAAGAGTTTTACTCGTAGATAGTAAACCATTATTCTCTCTCCAGTATCAACCCTAAGATTACGTTCAGAATGAAACGTTCCTTTGAATGCTTCGAGCTTTCAGACGACGACTGGCCTGAAGAACACTCTTTCAAACCCTCAAGAGTCCTGAAACCCGATCCCGTAGACCCCCCTCCTGCAATCGAGTCATTCTCTTATTCTAAATCCAACAATTATTCTGAACGTCCCACAACCGATTTTATTGACATTGGCGACAGCTCGTCCGACGAAATCGGGAATCAAGCCGAGAATTTAGATGACGCTGAATATGAGCCAGAGAAGGTGAATAGAATCCGCAGCCGTCGTAGATTCGTCATAGAGGATGAGGACGAGGATGATGGTCATGAAGTGAAGCATACTAAGATGTCGCGTACGGTACCAAGATTTGATGATGAGGTTGAAGAGTTCGAATTGGGGTTGCACTCGGAGTTCGAAGTGCAGGAGCAGGAGCTGGAGGAAGAGAAAAATGAAACCGATCTTGTCGTTAAGGCATTGCACAAATGTGGTAAAATATCTTCTGACCTGAAGAGAGAGCTGTATGGCTCAGCAAATACGGCTTGTGATCGCTTCTCTGAAGTTGAAGAAGTTTCTTCACTGAGAATGGTTTCTCAGGTATATCTCTAAATACGAAAGTGCTACTGTACTTGTCCTCTATTAAATTATTTGCAATTTAGAAAATTTACTTACTAAATATGTTGGGTTAATGAATTTGAAGGATGATGTGAATGAGGCATGTGTTGCGGAGGACTCGGATTTCAAGCCTGTGCTGAAACCTTACCAGCTTGTTGGAGTCAATTTCCTGATTCTGTTATACCGAAAGAAAATAGGAGGAGGTAATTAGCACTGTACATGCTTACTTGTAAGCTGTTTGATGCAGCACCTATAATAGGGAAAATGAATTGCCCCCCTTCAGTTTCTTGTGAAGCCACTTTTAGATAGATGATGATGTATGTATTGAATTGCATAACAAACTTCATGCAAAGGATATAGGTTTTACTAAAAAAGGTCACGAAGAAAACAACAGAAGGCTAAAGAGGCTGCTAGACCTGGCTAGTATAGATGAAGAGTATAATCCTCTGCACATTCTAAAATGGAGAATTGTTTATTGACCACTTATGCGAGAACATTAAACTGTCTTGAATATATGAGGGTGCTTTCAATTTGTTTTGATGATGAAGCATGAAACAAAGTAGGAGAGTATACAGAACGAGTAGAAAACAGGTACATCCTTAAGTTGTTTGAATTGAGATAAGTAGCAAAGTAGGAGATAAAGAAACAATTATCTCTTCCATTTAAATCCTTCCTAAATCTAGCAGCTAAAACAACACCTTCCAAGCCTTAGTCCCAAAAGAGTTTGGGGTCGGTTAACATGAACTGGTATATGATATAAGAGTTAAGGAAGATAAATAGAGATCAATTTTAATCTGAATGCGAAATAAAAGTTTATCATTTCTCATTTCTATAAGCACTTTAAAGCCCGTGCTGTCTGCTACCTATTATATTTACTGGTTCGATAGAGGTATCACCTGCTCAATCTGACACATCATTATTGAAAAATGTAAAACTCAGTTGTAAAACTGGAAAGTGCTTATAGACTGCTGCATTGTGAATGAGAAGAGTAAAGTAGCTATGACAGAATGCGCTACTGTGTAGTATGACAGAATGCGCCACTGAGTTTTACAAAAATGTAAAACTCAGTAGTAAAAATGGAAAGTGCTTATGACAGAATGCGCTACTGTGGAAATTCCAACCTTAATCCACTATGAAATTATAAGCTCTCAGAATGTATTTTCTATTCTTATTATTTTCCCATTTTTACAATTCGATTATTATTTTCCTCTTTCACATTTATTTGGTTTGTGTAGCAATACTGGCAGATGAGATGGGTCTTGGCAAGACAATACAGGTTTCTTAAAATTGTTTTTAGCAGTATGGTGTTATTTAAATGCTGAAAATAAAGACTTTCACAATCTCTTCTTCCTGTAGGCCATTACATACTTAACACTGCTCAACCATTTGGAACATGATATTGGGCCCCATTTAATTGTTTGCCCTGCTTCTCTTTTGGAGAACTGGGAAAGAGAGCTCAAAAAATGGTGTCCAAATTTCACTGTCCTTCAATATCATGGTGCTTCTCGGTCTGCTTATTCCAGAGATTTGAGCTATCAGGCTAAGGCTGGAATAGCACCACAATTTAATGTTATACTTGTCTGTTACTCGCTCTTTGAACGCCACAGGTTTGTTTTTATTCGATACACTCATACACCCGTACAGTTTTTGCCATCCTTTGTTACAAAAGTAGTCCAGTGCCATACTAGGATACATTGACTCATTTCACAATGCTTTTATAAGTGCATATTATAGTATGGAATATCTCACTCCGTGCACACATTGCAAAAAAATTCCTTGCATAAAGCCTTAGACCATCTCCAATGCAACAATGTGTACGTTACATATGTGGTATGACAGAGATAGACACCTAAAATAAATCGATGACATTTCTCTCTTCATTCAACAATCTTGTCTGTTTTTGGTTACCTTTTCTCAACAATGTCAACCACAATGTCTACATCTAGACATTTTAATTGACATTGTGGAGAAAGTTGTCAAAAACAAATAAGACCATTCAAATAAAGAAAAATATATTGTATCTATTAATTTTTATGTCTCTATCTCTCTCAGTCACGTATGCATCGTTCACATTTTTGCATTGTAAATGCTTTTATCAATAAGAAGAACATGCAACATGCCTAATACCAATGTTGCAGTGCACAACAGAAAGATGACCGCAAAGTTTTAAAACAATGGCGATGGAGCTGTGTTTTACTGGACGAGGCTCATGCATTGAAGGATAAGAACAGTTACAGATGGAAAAATTTAATGTCCCTGGCACGAAATGCAAATCAACGCCTGATGCTCACAGGAACACCGCTGCAGAACGGTTTGCATGTATTTTAGCTGTGTCCCCGTTGCTTTTCTTGAATTGCTAATATGAACTATGCAGGACACATTAGATTGTGTCAGTTTCATCTTCTTCTTCATCATGTACTTAAATATAATAGCTCATGTTGCACACACGATGAAAATCAGATTCACTGCATAGTTTTGACATGTGTCATCTCGTACTTGAATAGGTAAATTGACATACTAGAACTAGACATTATAAACTTACAAGTTAATAACATCCCCTTGATTCTTCTGAGATATTACTGGAAAAATCAATTTTGCTTAATGCACATTTTATCTTTTTATAAGCAAAGCTTTTAAGGATTGGTTTGACTTTTTTCAGTTAGTGGCTTTCCATTGCAGGAACTGTGGTCAATGCTGGAGTTTATGATGCCTAATCTATTTGAAACAAAAGATGTTGATGTAAAAAAACTTTTCAATGCTGAAGATAAGGACTTGATTGCTCAGATAAAATCTATACTTGGGCCATTTATTTTGAGAAGATTGAAATCAGATGTAATGAAGCAACTGGTCCCCAAGATTCAAAAGGTTCATTACGTATTCATGGGGCAAGAACAAGGAGGCGTGTATAAAGAAGCAATTGAAAATTATCGCACAGCTTCTCTTGCGCGCATGCGAAAGCTATCCGGAACTGACTTGAATAATGCTGCTGGGGTTTTCCCTAAAAAACAGATTTCAAACTATTTTATAGAATTCCGCAAGGTGCCTTGGCTATTGCGCTAAGTCAATAATTTTCTGTGGGACCGGTTATTTTAATAGTCTATGTACTTTATGGATGAATGGATGTTGTTTTTCATTTCCCTCAGATTGCAAACCATCCATTGTTAGTGAGGCGCATTTACAGTGATGATGATGTTGTTCAAATTGCTAAAACGCTGCGTGCAAGAGGTGCCTTTGGTTTTGAATGCACTGTGGACAAAGTTATTGAAGAACTCAAGGGTTACAATGACTACTCTATTCACAAGGTAATCTTTTTTGGCCGCTTTACATTTAAGGGGGTTTGGCTCCCAACATACTGTTTTCACTTTTCAGGGAGACACTCTGCCCTTGAAGTTATACATGATTATGGTTGATTGGAATTTTGCAGCTTTTACTATGTTATGGTGTGTATGATACAAAAGGAGTTCTTTCAGACAAACATGTTATGAGTTCAGCAAAGTGTCAGGTACAGTGAAATACTGAATAGAGTTTTGGATGTTGAGATGTGTGTACTGGGTAATAGCTATTAGCCTATTATCTATATTCACAAATAACAAGTAACATCTCAAGTGTTTTTTTGCTGCTGTAGGCGTTAGCTGACATTCTCCCTTCTCTAAAGAAATCCGGGCATCGAGTCCTTATATTCAGCCAATGGACGTCAATGCTTGACATCCTTGAATGGGCTTTGGATGTCATAGGAATCACTTACAGGCGGCTTGATGGAAGGTAGCATATTACCGATACCCCCTGCCCCGTTCTGCAAGATGTTTTTCCAATTTGAGCTAATAGTTCTAATTTCAACTGTTTGTGTGTGTGTTTAATGTTTAGTACTGCTGTGGTAGAGAGGCAATCTCTTGTAGATACCTTCAATAAGGACACTTCTATATCAGCATTCTTGCTCTCCACTAGGGCAGGAGGACAGGGGTTGAACCTGACTGGCGCTGATACTGTGATAATACATGACATGGATTTTAATCCCCAAATGGACCGTCAAGCTGAAGACCGCTGCCATCGCATAGGACAGACAAAACCAGTTACAATATACAGGTAAAAGGTGTTACTTTCGACTTTTTTTGAGTGTTACTCCACTTCCCCCAAAGGGCAATGTTTTATCAATACTTCTCAAAAAGTTACATCCAAGATGCATAAGATAAGCTTAGTTAATCCGAGAAATGAATTTGGCAATACAAGTAAGATTGGTGATTTATAGCAGTTGTACCTTTTCAAAATTTAAAAGTTGTACCTTCGTGAAATGTGAATTTTGTCACGCAATCTTAGCGGCTAAAATATTTCATATGCATTTCTGCTGATGTAATATTTGTTGACTTTCTGCTTAAAGACTGGTGACGAGAGAGACCGTTGATGAGGATGTATACCAAATTGCAAAACGAAAGCTTACATTGGATGCAGCAGTTCTCGAGGCTGACGTTGAAGTGGAAAATGAAAGAGATTTCTCTATCAAGTCTATGGGGGAGATCTTATCATCACTACTACTTAACACTTCTCTTCCTTAAATTATTATTCATCAGCGGAAGAAAAAGAAAAAAAAAATATTCATTACGGGACATGCTTACATTGGACGCAGCAGTTCTCGAGGCTGACGTTGAAGTGGAAAATGAAAGAGATTTCTCTATCAAGTCTATGGGGGAGATCTTATCATCACTACTACATAACACTTCTCTTCCTTAAATTATTATTCATCAGCGGAAGAAAAAGAAGAAAAAAATATTCATTACGGGACATGCTCATAAGCTGGAATATTCCAAGGTAAAAATGCAAGAGTAATTAATTTTTGTGGGTTAAATGCACCAAACCTCCTCGTGAAATATAAATTCGGCGCATTAGCCCCATGTGATTTAAAAAATGCGTCAAACTCCCCTGTGTTTTAATTAAACATGCGCAAAATCCCCTTCAAGAACAAATTTTACAATTTTGAAATCACTTTTTTTAATAATATGGTTGAATATGCAAGTAACATTGTCAAAATTTCTAAATTATACAAAAAAAAACTAATCATTTTTCATATTTTTTGAAATTAAATTTGTTCTTGGAGGGGTTTGGCGCATGATTAATGATAACACGGGGTTGACGCATTTTTTAAATCACAGGGGCTAATGCGCCGAATTTATATTTCATGATAGGGTTTGGTGCTTAAACCCTAATTTTTGTTGCAACCTCTATCAGGATAGGTCTGGTCAAACTTGATCGCTTTTGGGTAGGGATGGACTCGGGTCCGGGCCGAGTCCGGGTCGGGCCTAGGCCCGGGCGGGCCGGCGGGTCAGAAATGGTGGACCCGGGACTGGCCCGGGTAACCACCGGGTCCGGGCCTGGCCCATTATATATTTTTTTTGTTTTCCTCTTCCTAATTAACCCCCCTCCCACCCCCAACCCTCCAAACCACCCCAAATGGCCCAAAATACCTAGCCCAACCCGAAAATTTAAAAAAAATTTAAAAAAAAAATAGTTTTTGGCCCGAACCGGGTCGGGCCTTGTTTTGGGTGACCCGAGCCCGGACCGGAAAACCCACGGGCCGGGCCTACCCGGACCGGTCACTGACCGGGCCACCGGGTCGGGCCGGGCTGGAACAGTACCGGTCCCGGGCCGGTTCCGGGTCGGGCCACCCGGCCCGAGTCCATCCCTACTTTTGGGCCTTCGGAGGAAATAGAGACCTATGTCAAGAGTGTTATTTTCAAGTCTTGCCTAATTCGAGCAAGGCTTAGTCTACTCATTAAACACATCGATTTAGTCTACTCATTAAACACATCGATCTGTTGACAGTGGCTGTGCTGTTCAATTTATTTCTATAACAAACCAATACAGACAAATCAGATTGGTAGTACATAATAATATTATTATACATATAAAACCAGATCAGTATGGACTAGGTGTAGACCAGTCCGATTCTGGTCCCATAACTGGTTGATTCCATGGTTAAAATTTAAAAAAGTTTGGGTCCTGTGTTGTTGGCTTGTTGCTAAGAGCATCCACAATGGGGTGAATGTTTAGTCTTAGTAAGTGGTGCCACCTCATGAAATTAGACATTGTGTTTTCATTTTCATCTCCAATGGAGGTAGTCTATGTGCTGAGTTGGCAAAAAAAAATTAAACGGTGTCCACCGAACTTTCTAAGGAGGCGTTAACTTCGTTGCTAAAGTCACAGTTAGGTTTGTAAGACAGGTAAAGTAAACACGCAAGTTGCTTAAAACCTTGCTTACTAATCGAAAGAGATGTTTAAAGTGTCGCTTACTAAGCATACCACCTCTTATGTATTATTTAAGCGGCACTTTAAGCTTTTTCAGTTTCCGAATTTACCCTTAGATTTACCCCTTGCCCTATTGCTACCCAACTACACCGCCCTATCCTACTTGACCCACCCCCACCCTTGACCTGACCATACCTCACTCGACCTACCTCGACCCCTCCACCACCTGCCCTACCCCATCCCCTCACCTCTTACCCTACCCATGTACCCCCTACCACCTTCCCCTACCTTGACCCACCCTTACCCCAACCCTAACCCTTACTCCCACCCCACCCTTGACCCGACCACTAACCCGCCTTACCCTACCTTACCCCGATCCCACCTTGACCCGACCATACCCCACCCCCACCTTACCCCTACCTCGACCCCTCCACTACCTGCCCTACCCCACCCCTTACCCTACCCATGTATCCCTACCACCTTCCCTTACCTTGACCCGACCCTGACCCGACCCCTACCCCCGTCCTTACCCCCCGCCCCACCCTTGACCCGACCATACCCCACCCTCACCTTACCCCTATCCCCTAACCTCCACCACCTGACCTACCCCACCCCCACCATCACCCTACCCCTTCCACTGCCTTGACCCGGACTCCACCCCTACCTTGCCCCCTTTCCCTACCCCTTTACCCATACCCCCTACCACGACCCACCCCCACCCCCACCCCACCCTTGGCCCGACCATACCCCACCCCAGCTTACCCCTACCCCCTACCCTCCACCACCTGCCCTACCCCACCCACACCTTCACCCCTTACCCTACCCCTTTACCCCTACCACCTTCCCCTACATTGACCCGACCTGATCCCACCCCTACCCCTATAACCCTCTACCCTTGTCCCTACCTCGACCCACCCCTACCCCACCCCAACCACGAGTTGGGGTGTTGGTATGGGTGGGAGTAGGGGTGGAGGGTAACGTCATGGTAAGGGTAGTGGGTAGGGAAGGGGTGGGGTCAAGGGTGTGGAATTGGGGGTAGGGGTGAGGGGTGGGGGTACGGGGCGAGGTAGGGGTTAAGGGTGTGGTAAGTGACTAAGTGTACGAGGTGACCCCACATATTATATCATATACTTGTGTTCATGAATGTTTGTTTGTGTATATATCTATAGAGTTATTTTAGACATTTTAATGTTAAACGGTGTTTTAAATCCTTTGAAGTAAACATGAGCTTACAACACTGCTTATTTTATGTGCCGCTTATTAACGCAAGTCTTAGTAAGCACCGTTTACGAACCCGTGAAGTAAACGTGTTCTAAGTGTAGATAGGCATGTTAACTTGCTCTTGCTGACAACCACAACCGTAGAAAAAGCACCACTCTCTTCCGAAAGAACGAAAATAGGAAAACTTCCCACCCCAATTTTGACAACAAACACACACCAAATCCCTCTCAGATGTAAAATGTAAAAATTAAAGTCAACACTTTTTTATTTGAATTATTGATCCGGTGTTTCTGGTTTTAATCATGATCGATTCTATGTATGTATGTGCGTATATATACATTTAAAAAGTTACAAACGGGGATGGACTTGGGCCATGTAAACAGGCCCCACCTGCCCGGCCGGGTACGGGAGGGGTGCCATATACCTGAACCGTCCAATATCGGGGCAGGCTCCGGGTCCTGAAAAAAGCAAATTGGCCCGGCCTCAATGGCTATATTAGTTTTTTTTTAAATTAAACTAGCTTTGTCCTAACCGTTGGGAACATTCTCAAATGGCTCTATAGCCGTTAGGAGTAGGGGTGGACCGGTTCCGGGTCGGGCCCGGCCGGGCCTCGGTTCATGAAAGGGGAGGCCCAGAACCGGCCTGGGTAACCCTGGGTCCGGTCCGGGCCGGACCTCGGTTCTTGTATTTTTTTTGGCTTTTCTTAATTAACCCCCAACCCTCCCCCCTCACCCCCAAACCACCCCTAACCACCTCAAATGGCCCATCATACTCAGCCCAACCCAAAAACTTAAAAAAAATTCAAAAAAAAAAAAGAAAAAAAAAATAAATTGGCCCGGACCGGCCCCGAACCGGCCGGGCCGGTTCACGATTTAGGAGGCCCGGGCTCAGCCCGCCTACCTGATCGGGCCGGGTGGCCCGTATCGGGCACCAACTGGTTCACAGTAGTGGGCCGGTCCGGTTTCGTGCTGGATGGCCCAGCCCGAGTCCACTCCTAGTTAGGAGGGCCTGGGGGGTAATTATTTAATGAGTTTCATGCACAATATGGTCACACACCCTCTCCCCTGACACGAACATCTTTTTCTTCTAAAGGAAAATCACTTTTGAAATCTGCATTTGGCAATCTTGTGAAAAAATGTAAATCAACTCCCGTTAATGAACAAAGCTCGATCAACGAGCTTTATTTGTATCCAACATTTCCTGTTGATTATGAGGAAGGAGATGATTTTGACGTTCTAAAGTGGTGGTAGAAAAAAGAAAGAACGTTCCCTATTTTATCAAAGATGGCTAAGCAAGTGCTAGCAATGTCGGTATCAACAGTTGCCGTGGAACAAGAATTCAGTGTGGCCGGCAACGTGTTAACGGATTATAAAATGAGATTGAGCGTGAACTCTCTTGAGACGCTTGTTTGCTTCCACGATTAATTGAAGGCGAAACGTAGAACTCAAGAAGTGTGCACCATCCCCACCTGTCACTTTATGGAGGAAACAATCGAAGATGGCGAAGATTCCGATTGATTATACTTGTAAGAAAATGTATTTCATGCTTTAAATTTTTCTCAATTTTCAATTGTACTACATATTTCAAATAAATATACTTTAACTTTTTTATATCCAACAATTCTTGAATTAATTTGAAAAAAAAATTACCCGGTTCGAACCGACCCGGCCCGGTCTATACCTCACCCGCTACCCGGCCGGGTAGCCCGTCTTGAACCGGACCCGGTAGGTACCCGGGCCGGTTCCGGGCCTCAAATCGCCAACAAAAAGCACGCTCGGGCCCGACCCGACCCGAGTCCATCCATACTCCCTAGTTACAAACTGATACGCACGTTCCAAGTGCATCTAGCAATGGATTCGGTCCAATCCCGGTTTTGAATATTTAAGACCGGAACTGACCCAAGTTCCTATGGACCCGGTTCCGGTCACAGTATATTGTCACTTGTATCAATATCACATTTGAAAATTACAATTGAGAATACTTTAAAGTTGAAAATTACAATACATTAACCAATTGTCGGAGCCGCCTCCGGTGTCGGTTGTCGTTTCCTCCATGAAATGGTGGGTCGGTGCTATGTTGACTTCTTGCGTTCAACAGTGGGCCTTCAACCAATCATGGAAGCAAACGAGTGTCTCGAGAGATGAAGCGCTCAACCTCATTCTATAGTAAGTTAAAACGTTACCGGCTTAGCTAAACTCTTGTTCCACGGCAACAGTTGAAACCGATATCGACAACACTTGTTTGGCCATTTTTTATAAAACCGGAAACATCCCTTCGTGGGTCTTCCACCATTGGAGAATATCAAATTCCTCTGCTTCATTAAACTCAACAGGAAACGTTAGATATAAAGAGAGCTCGTTAATCGAGCTTTGTGCAACAACAGGAGTTGATTTACTCTTTTTGAAAAGAGTAGATATTGTTGATTTAAAAAAACCTCTTCCTTTAGATGAGGAAGCAATCGGTAATGCGGGAGGGGGTGCATTACCATATTGTGCATAAAACTCATTAAATAAAGCGTGAAATTTATTACTAACCTCGTTGAATTGGGCTTTAGGATCAATAGGTGTGTCTTCGTACATAGGGAATAGACCGTAAAAAGCACTATAATAGTATTCTAAAAATGTTTCATAATTTGAAAGTTTGAAACGAGGATCAAGACAAAAAGCAATAGAATAAATAGGCGGAATGTAGGCATAATATTTTAAAAAAAAATCTTTCATGTAATCACAAAAATAATGTACATAAGTAGTTTGAGAAAATTCTTGGAAAACACCGACGAGATTAACAGTTTCTATAAAAAATTGGTTGCTAGTTAGTTTATACATATGAGAAAAAGTTTGAGTAGCGTTGTTAAAATAAACTAATACATTGCAAATCTTTTGCATTGTGTCGATCCCAATCGGTTCTATAATATAATTACAAGTTTGTTTCATGAAATTAGGAAAACGATCTTTAAATCTAAGAAGCACAACAATTAAATTATAAGTACTGTTCCAACGAATAGAAATATCTTTAGGAAAAGCACAATACCTTACATTTTTTGACTTCAAATAAGCACGCCATTCCATTTTAAGTGGATTACTAGCCCAAATCATTCTAATAGCCTCCTTAACTTTCTCCATCACATTTCCTAATGTGGCTAAGCTGTCTTTCACACATAAATTAATAACATGACAAGCACAACGTTGATGAAAAAAATCTACCATCAAGGTAGATGGATCACATAATTCATGCAATCTAGGTATAGCAGCGGTATTGTTAGTAGCATTATCAAAGCCAATAGCAAACACCTTATCAATCAAACAATATTCAGTTAAAATACGTTCCATGAGGATATAGATATTATCACCGGTGTGTCTTTCATTAAAATCTCGAAAAACGATAATACATTTATACATTTGCCAATCATCATCAATCCAATGCGCCGTAACACCCAAATAATACAAGTGATGATAAGTATCTTCTCATATAGGGGAAAATAATTAAAATACCCTAAACTTTGAAGGGGTGTGAGATAAACACCCCGAACTTTCATATGTAATTTAAATACCCCAAATGTTAATTGTATCTTTATGAGTGCTAAAAATTATCAAATTATGAAATAAACACCAAAAATTAATATTTTTGAAATAAATAATACACGACCATGGTGCTAAAATAACTTTTTATATAAAGTTTGGGGTATTTAATAACTTTTTATCTCACACCCCTTCAAAGTTTGGGGTATTTTAATTATTTTCCCCTCCCATATATCACTGTAAATATTGACACGCCCATTAAAGTTTGCAAAAAGTTGAATTAAATTTTCTTTTTTCAAAAGATATTGTTTAATAACTTGTTTTTAGTTGTTTTGCGGTTATAGTTTCGAAATTGTGGATTTAAAGAACCTCGAGCATAAGCACGTAAATCAAGACTTTCAGAAAAAATAAAAGGCAAATTTTCTTCAAAAATAACCTCAGACATAGCTTTTAAATGTGTCATCATTGTAAGAGAAATTACCGAAGGGTTGATCATTTCCAAACCTCGATATTTGTGTTTGTGTCCACTTGCCCTTCAGTTTCGCCACCTCCATGGGGTGCTTCACGTTTAAGTGCTTTTGCACCATGCCATATCCCCCCGAAGTACCCATGCACAATATTTGCGGACAATGTTAGCAATGTGTGTAATACTTCCCATCCGTCGGATCCATTGTCTTCGTAAAATGACCTTGAGCAAAAAGAGTAAATTTTCGTTTAGACTTATGTTTGTTGACCGCTTCGGATCCACCCTCGTCATGGTCCTCTTGTCATGCTCCTCCTCGCCATGCTGCTCATCGCCACCCCCCACATTCCCGCCGCCTCCTCCAATATCCTCCTCGGGGTCATCGGCCTCCAACTCCTCTTCAATGGTGGGGATGTCTTGTTTATGGTAAAATTGGTCTTGGTTTTGGTTCAAGAGCTCTTGAAGTTGCTCATCGGTCACCGCATCTCTACGATCATACTCGGTCGTCCAATCATCGCGTGATGGGAACGAAGATGTTGGCCGTACTTGTAATTTACCTTTCGATCCCCCGACCGCTCCGAAGGATGACCTCTTGCAATCTCCTTTGATCGATTGCGTTGTAGATTAACTATATCAACGGATCTCCTACCCCCGGTCCATTGTCTTATAAATGTTACAAAAAATACAAATTACAAATTACAATGTCAAGATTACAAATTACAAATTACAAAAAATTAAAATTTAACAAGAATTAAAGTTTAAGAAGTATTACTATGAAAAAATGTACGACGATCAAAATGTAACGACAATTAAAAATGTGCCATCACTCTCTATCTCCTCTGTCCGTACGAACCGAGGACTCCACAA